CCCATGTGTTCATTGGAAAATGGTCGAACAACAGGTCGATGTATTCGCAAGTCTGTTCTGCGAAACACAGAGAACGAACTTGTGCCGTTCACGGAAACTATTCGTATATAAAGTTACACCTGGATTGTCTGATGTCATGAAACTTCAAGTCAAAACGAAGACTGCCCAATAGCCTGTCGAAACGGCCGTAAAAATGTAAAAAAACGGTATGAGATCAGATATTGTGTGAGTGTTTATTTGCCAAATTTAAACATATAGCCAGTGTGAAAGCTGAATGGACAAGGACTTTTTAGAGAACGAAATTAGGGGTAAAAAGAGAACGGTTGCCTATTTAGGTAAAGTCGCGTTTCGCCAATTCAACTTTCGCCAATAGACATTCGCCATACTGGCGACTCGCCAGATTGACATTCGCCAGTACCCCTACGACATTCGCCATTGTTCTGACATTCGCCAATTGGTCGATTGGCGAATGTCTCATTGACATTCGCGAACTTTTTTGGACATTCGCCTATTGGCGAATGTCTACTGGCGAACATTGGCGAAAGTTGAATTGGCGAACTGCGACACATCCCCTATTTATGGTCAAATTTGGAGTGATTAGAGAACGGACATAATTATAAAACGAAAAAACCGAAAAGAGAACGGAGTTAGTACTGCAAAGAGAACGGTGATGTGTTCGAATGGTGAATTAAGGCCTATATATATCTTGCATTACATACAAAAAAATGCAAATATGTATGATATTTCAAAAAAGTAGAACAGGACTGGATTTTTTTGGTGCTAAACGAATACGATCTTTTGAAATTACATGATAGCTAAAAGCAATTGCAAGTCCAACTGTATGTTTACAAACGTATTCTTTACAAAAGAATCTGCACGAACAAAAGTGTCGTTGAACCGAAACTACGTGAGTAGATTCATACCACATCTTAAAATGATTGAATGAGGAAAATGTCTTTCAAAACCGTTTGCTTTTCGCCCCATTTTCTGAACAGCGTAAAAATTTAATAATTCGCACTCCGTTCTCCATTCAGTTCAAACTCCGTTCTCTTTTCATACTTTTTCCATGCTAAATGAGAATACATATTGTTGATTGTCATACAAAACTTGAATAGTGATTTTATTTTCAGTATATTAGCAATATTGTCTTTGGGAAAGGACACATGGCCAGAATTTATTGGTCAGGATGGAACTGTAGTTGCTGATCAAATTAGAAACAATGGTAGGTAATTGTTAAGCTTGAGTTTTAACATTATGTGAAACATATTTACATAGGTAAACCTAAACTGCCCTTCTGACACTTCTAAACGACGCCATCTGAACCTATGAGCCTTTCGTCCTAGATATCATAAAAGAGCAGGGCAAATAAGGTATGTTTTCGGCCTAAAATATTTTGAAGAAAAAATATTATGGTTAGAAGCGGCATCAAATTCTGAACAAAATGGCATATTTTTTTATTCGAAAAAACGACTTTCATCATTTTCGAAAGTCACCGCCCAGGACCATCGGACATTCTTTTCTGAGATTCTTTGCAGTTGATATAGAATTGTCATGGCCTTATTGAGGTGTTAATCTAAAGCAAGAAGTATTTGGAATGTTAAAAGCCTACAATTAGCCATCCCAAAATACAGGTGGGCATTTTTGAATAACTTTTGACGGAAATCAACATTGTTTTTGTGTAGAAATGAACTTAACTTCGTCAGAGGCATTTTTGTGAAAAACCGGTTTTCGTCTGTTACTAACAAAAATTAAAATCCTTATATCTCGATCAAATCTCATGCTGACTCAAGGAGCCTTTCAGGAAAGACTTAAAAGGTGCCATATATTGTTGATCATGCCGAAAAGTGGTTCAGCAGAACACTCATGCTTTCAGGTTTTTCAGAAGGTTTCTGGAAATCATTAACCCAATGTCCGGCTGAAATTCACCTTTTTCGTCTTCTATTGTGCTTTACGGGCTGTCCTGAGCGTTTCCTGAAAATTTCCTTGAGTCAGAATGAGATTTGATCGAGATATAAGGATTTTAATTTTTGTTAGTAACAGACGGAAAACCGGTTTTTCACAAAAATGCCTCTGGCGAAGTTATATTCATTTCTACACAAAAACAAATGTTGCCAATATGCTCAGCGTAGTCGAGTAGGGATAGTCCATGGCATTTCGAGATTCTGAGAGATGTCTACTCGAAGACAGACACGTGCTCGACGAAAGCGAGCGCTATCCGAACAACGATAGCTGGAGAGCCCGGACGTGCAGAATTTTGTAGAGTAACGTCCGGACTATCTACGCATGCAAAAAAGTTATTAACATTCTATGTTAGTTTTCTGAGAACGGAGCTGGTTTTCTAAAGATCCTCTGGAAACCCGATCTTTGAAATTTTTTCAAAAGTTATTTCCGCTTATGAAAAGTTCCGCTCAAGTCCTGGCTATCGAACAGCGAAAATTGCAGGTCTCTATCTCAAATAATGCTCACCGGCACTGTATTTTGGGACGGATAGTAGATTAGTGTAGAAACAGTCGCTCTTTTTGAATTTATTGCCAGGAATTCTATTAGAATTCATTAAAGTACCAAAAACTGAAAAGGACTTGTAAGATTATAGAAAATTGCATATTATATTCAACTGTTGTGACTGTTGGTCCAAACGAGATCTATAAAGAAGTAGAAATTTTAACAGTATATCCAGTTTTCAATGCTCTATCGAATGATATTAAAAAAGTATCATAAAAATTTTGTATCAGATCGAGAACATGCCTTATCTGACAGCCTCCTTTTTTTAAGGAGCAGGATGGCACGGGATCACATTTCTTCTTTTTCTCATGTTCGTAAAGGACTAATAAATGATGATAATATGTCACAGTTGTCTTCTTGTTTTTTGCTTAAATAGAACGAATCGAGTCTCTTATTCTTCTAGGCCTTACACCTCATATTATATCGTTTGATATGGGTAATGACGCTAATGACGAAGCAGTAGCTGATTTATTGCATAATAAAGATCCAAAAATTGTTTGGATTCAAGTTAATTCTAATAACAAAGCTGAAAGTATTTTATTAAATAAACCAGAAACAGAAGATCCAAACAATTATCATCGCTTTTCCTATTTAAATAGATTAGCTAATACAGCTGTATTCCATAAACAATATGATCAACTGAAGGCTATTGCTGATGAAATGCTTCAAAGTAAACCTGGAGAACTTGATTATGGTGATATGATGTTTAAAGGAAATGTGTTCAATGGAATTGTTGCATTGAAACGAGATAATAACTTAGAAAATGCAAAACAATTTTTATTAGCTGCTGGTCAAACGCCTGGATCGGCTGTACTTAGCAGTTTTGGTCCAAATATGAGTCTTGCCAAAGACTTACTCGAATTAGGTGAACAACAAGTTGTTTTAAAATATTTTGAATTATGTAGAAAATTTTGGACACATCATCCAGAAACGTTGGATGAATGGGAAACGATAGTAAAGCAAGGACAAATACCAGACTTTATGGCTAATCTGAGCTATTAATATATTGAAATGCAATGAAATTCACACCGGTTCACCGTGAAACTTGAAATACAGAACTCAGACTAATGAATTCTAACAACAACTTTTTAGACATGTGCCAAATCTAAAATAAACTTCTTTTACGAAACCTAAAAAAATTTATTGTCAAAATTAGAGTATGTGACTCCGAACTGAAAGAGAAAAATAGAGACATCTTTTTTTTTACGTCCTCTATTCCTTCTGGTTAGCCAAAAAAGAATGTAAAATGTAAAATTTTCCATCTTTGTTAGATGTCTATTGATGATGGTGAAACATTGTATAAATAGATATTAGTATAAAAATCGATTAGTTATAGCCACTAAACGAAGTCGCACACGAAAAATGGAATAAAATAAGCGCCAGAACAGTTTCACAGCATGCTAATGAACACGACAAAATGTATACCCGGTAGATCAAACATGTCGGTGCGTTTATTGTCTGGATATGCTTTAAAACGGGATGAGTTTGGTCACTATGTATCTGTGCTAAAGTCAGGTATGATGGAACTTCCAGATTGTATAAATTGCATAGAATAAAAGTCTTGCTTTTCTATATTTATTGGTATAGAAACTTGAATAACATGAAGATACTTAATTATAGATATTGCAAAAGAAACAAATTTCAGAGCACACATATGAAGTAACAAGGAAAAGTATAATAGTCATTTTGACTCCACCTGGAAAAAGCAAGTTTCTTCGATAATTATGATAACAGTGAACTATCAGAAGTATAATTAGCGTCATCGATGTTCCCCATATGAAACCATTGAACACCTCTAGATAGTTGAGTTGTCTTCTTTTGTAACTATAGAAATCTTATCAGTTTCTTATATAAGATTCTTATCAATATCTTACGCATTTCCATCGACTGCCGTATATAAGATTATAAGAATCTTATAAGAATTCTTGCAT